GCGAGATTCAATATTATTGAGTGAGAGGGATGGGGAAATCGTATTTTGCATCGGCTTTTACAATGCTTACTGGGACGCCATCAGGTCTAGGACTATGAGATTGACGAAAACGCCGAATCGCAACAGTCACATCCCACAGAGTGAAACTTATAGTTTCGTGAACTGCCCTGGTCGAATGGTCGAATTTTTAATAAACGTTTTGGACAGGAAATCATTGAAGCTATCAGCGGTTAACTGGGCATCAACTATAGGATTCCCGAGAGCATCTCGGAGGATGGGATGCTGCGTCTTTCAATGAGTTCGTATTTTTCGGGAGAAAAGTTTCGAGATATTTGACGAACGGTTTTCAATGAATTGCACTTCTTCGGTTAGTTGTCTTCCTTCGGACAATCCCTTAGCCCGCTCAGAAATATCACAAATCCAGGGCCGAATGGAAACTTCGTTCTGAAGATGGAATCGACGGGAAAGTCTACGCAGCCTGTGACGAAAGAGTAAGGGTAGGAAAACCTCATCCCTGACATTAATAATTTCCTTCCGAGGGACAAAACGAGAAATAAGCGGATCCAAAATTTTGTACAGATTTGCAGTGCAAGCATTTACATCCGAACTAAGGAAGAAAGCAGTCCAATCGTAGGAATCAAGGTGTGCAAGTAATTCGGTCAAGCGAACTGATCGGGAATCGCGGAAAAAGCTAAACTTTGGGGCCAACGTTTTGTCAGCCTCGAGTTCTAACGTTGAAACAACTATGTCATAGTCTGCGCCCCTGAATGGACGTGGGAATGATACAGACAAAGGCGTGGAGCCTCCACATAAAATAAGGTCAAGTATGCTTGATCCTCGGGTGCGAAATTCGACAACCTGACTCCACATCCCAACGTTCACACTCTCAAGAAGGTCTTCGAACCTACTGGATCCTGAAGGTGGAGACCAGCGGATGTAAGGAAAATTGAAGCCACCCGCAACCAATTGATACTTTAAGCTTAAGTCGGCCGCAGCATGAAATGCCAGTGAGAGTAAACGATCAAAATTCTCATTGTCGTTGGGAGGGCGATAGACACAGCCAACGAGTAAGGAGAACTTATTTTTTGAATGCAACCTAGAGCCAGCTGTTGCCTTCTATCGCTGAAAAATGCGGGAGTTCCAATGACAGAAATGTAAGTGTTTGCTTCACTTAGACGCAACTGCCCCCACCAGGGCTGTCTTAATGAAACATATTACTTGAATAACTTAAAACGCTTGTTCAATAACTTGTTCAGAAGCGCTACTTATGTCGCCATATATCAACTGACCGAGTGTTTCGTCAGCTGATGTTCTGTTACGACTAGCAAAGGCAGAGTTTTGATGATTACGTGGTCAAGAGGTTCCACTTTGAAAAAAGGGATTCTTGAGTTAGCCTTATCCACAGAAGGCAAAGAACACATGCTGGCACCTGTTGCGCCTCCGGCCACGATTCTAGCACTCAAAGACACTGGGGAGGCTGCAAGCTTTCGTTCTTTAGCACGCGTTCTT